CTTTGCATTTCACTTTACATAACCATTGTCATGAATTCGTTCTTACTTTTGCTATTTTGCTTCCACCACGATAAAATCTGACTTCATGCAGAGATCTCTCTCTCTCTCTCTCAGTGCACTTAAACAGTTTCCCATCTTAAAATCTGTTTTCTGCATTATTCTGCTTATTGCCCACCAGTCTACCGTTGTTTACAGCGCTGTTATTCTACTTACTTCCGACAAGAAAGACTCATTTCTGCTGTTCAATACTGAACAAATTTAAACTTTTTAAAATTATTTAAAATTGCAAATGCTTGGCTGTGTCTCTAATAAAACCTCTGTAACGTGTGTGTGTGTGTGTGTGTGTGTGTGTATGTGTATAGAGAGAGAGGTATTAGAATATTGATATAATCAGATTGTTACACTTACTTTGCCATAGAGGGACATCTTGAAGCATTCAAAGAAGAATTTCTTTCTGGCTTCATCACCTCGTGTTTTAAAATAAGCTGACTGGGCTTCATAACCAAAGCTGAGAAATTTTCCATGCTCATCAAAAAGGATGCAGGTCGGAGTCTTTGGGGTCCTCAGTGCAACCTGTTGACCCCAGTATTTTAAACGAGGTTCAATTTCTGCTTCTATTTTTTCCAGACTGAAAGCATATCCACTGTACGCAGTACCAAAGTCTATCGCTATGATGTATGAGTTATCCATTGTGGAAACTGTGCTGAAGAGCAGCAGTTACAGAGTATTTATGAACAAACCAGGGGGCGGACCTCACTGAACTCCACCCCCCGGTCTGTGGAGTTCAGTGTAACAGTCGTACTTGTGTCAGACTGGAAAAAGACTTTCACTAAACAAGACAAGACACCACGATGAGTAAAGAAAAGAACAGCAGGTAAATACTTTATATCAACCTTTGTCATCCGTATAAACTGGCAGATTTAACGGTTACACTAATTAAAACTATTTAAACGTGAAAATGCCTAAATGCAATTTGAAGTTTTGTTTAACAGTTTTCCTTAGTTTGAAATGATATGACGGAGTATGAAGTGCGCAGATAAGGTATTTTTCCTCTCTGGATATAAATATCTGTGACATCAGCGTTTCCTCTTTACCTTCAAATTAGAGATTGTAATCAAGCAGCAGCTCCACAGGAGCTAAGGTAAGGATTCACTCCTTTTTTTAATATCATTTGATGTTTCTGATCAGAAATGTTTTAAATTGCTTCATTTACATGGTTTTCACAGCTGAGCACAGGATAGACTGCATGAATTATACTCTATGTTGCTATATGATCTTCATATCATAAGATTTTACATTTTAGAAAAGCTCAATAAACATTAAAACTCTGAAATGAATTCTTCAAAATTGTTGTGTGTATTGTGAATAACTTTTCTAAAATGGTTTTAAACAGTTTGGCAGAGATGGGAAAAAAACTGAAGTTTCTCATTTCTTCTTTTTATTTGATCATTTTTTTTAATCTGTTCACCAAGACTTTTGCTTTACATGCTGTATATTTGTCTCACAGTATGGTGGTGAAACATCAAAGTCTGCTGTACAAACTCACATAATTACACTCATATTGTTAAAGTATTTTAAACAGTGACATTTTAGTCTTTTGCAGACTGGTATGCTTGATAATACATATGCTTAATTACACTAAAAACATGAATTTTTTCTCACAGGTCTGTGAAACGTCTAGAGGAGGAACTGAATTCAGTCATACAGAGGTACTGTTGGCATATTCTGGTGAAACATCAAAGTCTACTGTGCAAACTCACATAATTACACTAACATTTTTAAAGTATTATTTTAAACAGTGAAATTTTAGTCTTTTGCAGAGTGGTATGCTTGATAATACGCATCAACTGAAAACCGACTGAGATTAATTTTTCAAAATATTTTTTCCCAGTTTCAGTGAGTAAAAATCTCTCAAAAACAGTCAAAAAATCAGCACTGGTCGCAGACCTATGTTATTGATCATCGGGAAGTGAAAGCATCTCTATAACCTCAATAAGGGAGGTTTTAGCTGTTTGTTCGTCTTGAAATGTAGGTTTCTCTAACCCACACCTGCCGCCTGCAATGACCTGAGCACAGAGTAGCCTGCTGAGCCACCTCCTGGTCAAGGCTCCTAGTGGAATCTGTCCGTAGCTCAGTGGACTGAAATAGGTGAAATTTGGACAAGGCCTTCAGCAGGATTGTTGGATTGAGCCAGATGACCACCCTGAGCATGGAGTTCACTAATCCTCCAGCAGCTCAAAAGAAGGAAGCCAAAGTGTGCCATAGAACATGTCCAGGTCTAAGGGGGGAGCCAGGGGCCCTGGCATGCAAATTTTAAGTTGCTGGCTGCCCTTTGGTGCCAGGAGATTAAAGTGGCCCCACTAAATGCTGAGTGTCGAACGCAAACTTCCTTAATTGCCTGATCACCACCATGCCATGTAGGTTCACCGCCTCCATCTGGGACTGAAGGAACTGCAGGATGTGAGAGTGCAAGACAAGGCACCAGCAAATATTTTCACTCCAGCTACAAACGTAAACAGACACACAATGCCTCGACATATGGTACCACACAAAGCGCAAGTGGTCAACGATCGCTGGTTTTACTTCTGTACAGCCATTTTATATGTACGCTTTTGGGCATGGATGGGCTAGCTGGAGTTTCTTAAAGATATATTCATGTGTCATAACCAAGGGGTGGGGAATCATTACATATGGAGAGGTAATGTAAATATACCAGAGAACATAACAATCTTCCTAGGAGTGGGCGTTTTACCAAATTCATTGCAAACCCAGGAACTCTACAGGCCTCAGTGAGCAGGTTAAAGGTTAATAATAATGACATCACAATTAGAAAAAAAACTGATCAACCACGGCTGTTTGGGAGGGTTGTGAGAGAAATCTTCTTCCATATAAAAGAACATAGCTATGGTTTAGGCTTGCAAAGCTGGGGGTGAACAAAGCACAAGACTTCTGGCTGATAAAGTAACACATCACTGCAGGTTACTGCTGCTAAAGTTTGTTCTACGAGATGCTGAATCAGGTGGTGGACTTGTACACAAAACTGTAGATACAGATGTATTTCTAATCATAGAGCTGACTGAATATATTGCATATCGTGAATGACCTCTATATTATGTTTTTAAACAGATTGGCTGAGATGGAAAAAAAAATTCATCAGGCAAAGTAAACATTTTTTTCTCATCTTTCATAAAAGTCTGAAGTTTCTCATTTCTTCTTTTTATTTCATTTTTTTTAATCTGTTCACCAAGAATTTTGCTTTACATGCTGTATATTTGTCTCACAGTATGGTGGTGAACCATCAAAAGGTGGAACTGAATTCAGTCATAGAGAGGTACTGTTCGATTAATCTGGTGAAACATCAAAGTCTGCTGTACAAACTCATATAATTACACCTACATTGTTAAAGTATTATTTTAAACAGTGACATTTTAGTCTTTTGCAGACTGGTATGCTTGATAATACATATGCTTAATTACACTCAAACCATGAATTTTCTCTCACAGGTCTGTGAAACGTCTAGAGGAGGAACTGAATCCAGTCATACAGAGGTACTGTTGGCATATTCTGGTGAAACATCAAAGTCTACTGTACAAACCCACATAATTATACTAACATTGTTAAGGTGTATTATTTTAAACAGTGAAATTTTAGTCTTTTGCAGAGTGGTATGCTTGATAATACGCATCAGCTTGCTGTCTTTGATTTCTCCAGTTTTCATCTTTAAGGAACTCCTCTGTTGGTGTGGCTGTATGCTTGTGAACACTGATATTCCAAACAGTTAGTTTGGTGGATTTATTCCAATCTTTAGATTTGAAATAGCTTATTTGGCAACTAAAGACTCCAAAGGTCATGAGAAATTATTAATTCAAAATTTTTCAGATGATAAAGAAAATCAGAACTACCAGGGAAACCAAAAATACCTAATCTATAGTCATGTGAACTGTGGAGCACAGAAACAAATCACTTATTTGTACCAAACAATATTCCACAGATCTGCACATAAAGAAACTGAAGAAGAATTCAAATCGTTCAAAGACAGGTACTGTACAGAAACATCGATTTAACAGTGCTCTGTATGTTGCTCCAGACACTGCCATCTGTTCATTTTTTTCAACATTATCTATTACTATTACCAGAGTGGCAGGAGAGATTGATCTTGCACTAAAGACGGGGAAATCTGAAAACATGAACAACCCAGTGAATGAAACCAGACTGAAAGAGATGTATGAAGAGCTGAGGAAGGACTGGGCTAAAATCAAGACTTATCTGCAGGCAGATCAGAACAACCCAGAGGAAATCAAAGCTTCGATTCAGGTGCATTTTACAGTCTGAAGAGGTGAGATTAGAGTGTGGTATGAACTGTATTCTTATAAAAATATATATTTTTATTCACTCTGACGATTATAGTACAGATTTCAATGTGGAGCAGGGGAAACAAAGCAGAAGAAGGAACTGATACAGAGAGCATTTACCCTAAATGAGGACACTCAAGCGTCTCAGAAGGTACTGATGTGTTTTGTATGTGTTAAACATGATCACTGAAGCTTCAATTCAATCCAATTCAATTTTATTTATATAGTGCCAAACCACAACAAAAGTCACCTCAAGGATCTTCTGTGATAAAGATCAATGACAGGTTTCATTATTTGTTTCAGGTTCATGAATACACAAAGTTAACCCTTCACAACCTTCAGCTTGCTGTTTACTATGGTTTCAAAGACACTGCTGGTCAGGTTTGTTGGAATTACAGACACAACATTACACACATTGTAAATACACAAAACTGCACGTTTGTGGGACAGGCAACCAATTGCAAGATGTTTTTTTAATTTTTATGTTGTTTGTAGTCATGTAAACTTAAATAATTTCTCAATGGCAGGGGTTCCACGGACAGGAAGGTCAAACTCATGATGATAGCAAGAATAAGCTCTTCTTGAAGTGCTTCTGGCTGAGCGGCTTATTGGTGCTGAACGATCCCCCTCTTCAGCCTGACTGGATAAATCATCATCCAGGGCAAGATGCTTGGAACATTTTCCCACAAGAGATCACAGCTGATTCTGCCATTGCACTCTGCCAGGGCCACTCTGCAAAGGTCCTTAATGTCATTGGACATACCAGGACCCAGACTTGAACCAGACTGAAGATCTCTAGAAAGTACAAGTAAGAGAACTACAATTTAGTTTGTGAAATAAAATGAGCAATGTGTTTTTAATATATCCTTGAGAGATCAAAAAGACAAGAGCTGCACTACTTTTGGGTTTTTAATGACAACATAGAGCGTTATCCAAGAGGCTTCTTCAGTTTTAGAGTAATTGATAGAGAATTCCAGATGATTTAAAAAAAAAAAAAAAAAAAAAAAAATATTGGAGGTGGTCCTGAGGATCGCTGGCCCACTTTTGATGATACAAGTCATCAGATCAACCAAGGTGTGTATAAATTCACTGGGGCCAAGATGTAAAACATTACTAAGACATCACCCCACCCTAGTGAGTTCTTGAGGTTACATAAGGCAAGGGGTGAGTGGAGGTTGAAACACCCTGGTAGGGATCTCAACACTGCACTGTCTGCGACTGCTAGGTGGTGTTATAAGTCACCACCTGTGTTCATCCCTGAAAAGAGTAAAGTTCTACAGAATCTCACCACTTTACACTTTAAAATCAGGTTAGCATATTACATTCTGCAGCATCCGT